AAAGTTCGATCCAAAATTAGAAAAAATATTTCAACAATTCAGTCTTGATACTTTTCTATTGTGCTTACATAAAACTCATCGATTCTGAAATTCATCACTGCCACCTTGAGGGTGTGGGTGTGGATAAAGAAGAGGCACCCACCCACACCCACACCCTCTGTTACGCATGTGAGAAAGTTAAGTGGCGACTAACTTTGTTTTATGTGTTCGATTTTAATTATCTCAAAACGAAATGGCAAATAAATACTTTCATATTTCTCATTTTCGGAAGCTGATTATAAGGAAATAAACATGTTCAGAAGCATATCTATAAAAAAAAAGGTAGCATTTCGATCTCTATACTTTGACTTCGCATTTAAACGAATGTTTTATGAGTTTTCATTCTTGAGATCATCGCGACATAAAACTAGATGGCATCCCGACAAAGTCGGAAATGTTAGATAAGGTGCGAAGCACGAATATCTACTGTGTGAAACTAGATGGTGTTCGAGTTTCGACTGGAATACGAAATACGTTGTGAAGCACACGTACCGAGAATCCGAAAAACGAATTTCGAATCGAAATCGAATAATTACTCTAAATATCATCGAAATTCGTTCTCACATTCTACGTCAAGATTCAAAGATAATTGAAGAGTTTTCTGAGTTAGGGATAAACGATAAAAACAAACATTTTTATCGAACAGTTGATCTAGCGTAGATCAGACATGAAAGGCATCCATTATGAAATTGATCACTAGAGAAACTCTACTAAAGCGTATCGACAGACTTCTAGAAACTGTTGTTTATTGATCGATTAACTATCTCAATGATTCATTATCTACTATCAGCTGTATTTACAGCTGTTTGACATATGAGAACAGTAAGTGGAGCCTAACTTTGTTTTAGTTTTTCAATTTTAATTATCTTAAAACAAGAAGGAAATATATAGTTTCATATTTGTCATTTTTCGAAGCCGATTATAAAGAAATGCAACATGTTCAGAATAATATCGATACAAAATATACGAGTTCTATCTCGTTACTTTGACTTCACATTTAAAGGAGTGTTTTGTGAGTTTCGATTCTCGAGATCCATCGCGTCACAAAATGACAAGTTTGATGCGTACCTATAGTATTTTCGTATGGTAAATGGCTGTATATAGTGCAAATAGCGAATAGTTGTAACCATGATTTAGGCTATCTGTATTGCAGTGAAATCTGCAAAAAAAGCATATCTAAGTTAACAGCTAAATCCTCTAACGTAATATCAGTTAATCTCCGTGTGTGAAAAGTAAGATTTTATCAAAGAAAGGCCAATACAAAGAAGTTAAGTGATTTGTGAAATGAGTAATCATAGATTTTATTTTATATAACTTTTATTTTAATTTCTTAGCTGATCAAAATGGCACATAAAAAATATATTCTGGCTTGAATACTACATGAAATACGAAGGAAAGTTCATATGAGAATATTATTTTTGGCTTAGTTTTTGTAGTTGCGTGGATTGAGAGCATCCAAAACTTGATTCAGATCACCTTTTTTTGCTCTAATGAGTTCTGTAAGAACGCCATTCGAATCAACAAACCCCATTGCAGTCATCCGTTCAATACATTCATCAATTTTCTTTTGTTCTTGAGCTTGTTGATCTGCAGTTGTAGCAGTTGTTGTTGCCGATGGTGTTGGTGGTTGAAACATTGGAGCAAACACTGTATGAAGTTGCTCAAGTAAATTACCAAATCCCGGAGCAGTAGCTGACGCTGATGAAGCTCCAGTAGTTGGAGCAGCAGATGAAGCTTCTGATGATGGAGGAGCAGATGGTTTTGGTTCAGTACCTGTATTAATACTTGCTGTTGCTTCTTCGTTTTTTTCCTTTGTTTCAGGTTGTTCAGTTGTTGTTTTTGTTTGTTGATTATCAACAGAATAATCACAATCAATGCCAAAAGGTGAAAGAATTTCACGAAGAAATTGACCAATATTTTCTAAAAGAGCATTTTGATCAACAGGTTTGTCAGTTTGTTCACCAGTTTTAAATCGATTGATTATTTCTTTAACTTTTTCCGTACGTAAATATTCGGGTAAATGAGTTTCAACTAATTCAGCTAATTCTTTACCCTTAAATTGACCAAGAAAATTGGCCATATCTGCTGGCATTGGAAAACCAGCTGGACAACCTTGTTGCCGACGCATAAAATGATGCCAGAAACGAGCACCACCACCACATCGACCGCCATTAAATGGTCCACGACCACAACGACGATGTCCAGCAAAATGTTGAAATGGACGGGTTAACTTTATCATATTATGTTCAGAATGAAGATTTTTATCCGAACATGTTTGACATAAATCATAATCTGGACATTCCGTACATCTAAAAGAAAACATAAAGAAAAGTCAATATGATGAGAAAAATGAAGTATATTATTCAAAACTTACTTATAACGATTACCAATTACAGGACCTTGACAACCATCACAAGTTACACCAGGACGAACTGTTGCATTTGGACTTGTTTCTTCTGGTTTTTTAACTTTTGGTTTAACGTAAATTTTAATTACACCACCAAGTGGAATATTATTTAAAGCCGATCGTAATTCATCATCGGATGAAAATGTAATACGATCATTGTCTTCATCCATGTATTGTAATGTAAATTGACCTTGAGAATAATTACTATTCAATTGAGAAATAGTTGTTTCCAATACTCGATAAACATCATTGGTTGGTGATACATCAACCTATAAATAACTTATTGAGATTTGAATTTACAATAGTTTAAAGATCTTACAGAAAATCGTCGGATTTCTGGTTGACTTTCAACGAGATCATTGTAGTAAGTGGCCATCCGTGAATGACGGCAAGGTAAAAAAGCGCGTTTTTTACTCCTGTTTGTTGCTTCTAATTTGTCCAGTTTTGTCGATCCCTTTTCTTTCTTGGACGTCCATAGATATTTGACTTCCTTTTCCTCTATCCAGCTGTGACGGATCTATCCCCTCTTTATCTGAATATTGTTTCTGAATCACTCCTAAGCTTTGACGATAACGTGTTGTTGTTGTGTAGACATGTTGTTTGCTTTGCTTTGCTTGAATTGAATGAACAACAACACTGCATTTTCTCAAGCATTTTATACTATAACCATGGGGTAGATGAGTAATCATAAGAAAAATGTAGAAGAAAAAGAACGTTGCGTAAGAACGAAAGAGACCGAGTTGATGTGTCTGATACGTTGCAGCAAAATAAGAATCGAAGAGAACATTCACATGTGTTACTCATAATAAAAGATGCCCAGTAATGCTGAGAAGACAGTTTAGTCTGTAGCTTGTAGTGACTAGCAAATATATGAATTAGTAAGCTCTTTTCTTCCAGATTTTCATTGTCATGTGAAATAACAGCTGTTCAAGATCATTCCAGAATATTCATGACTATTATATAATTCTACTTTATTCTTAATAACAAAAAGAATAAAAAAAATGAAATATCAAAATAAACATATTTATTGATTTTCTTATCTTACTGCCGAGCTGACATCGGCAAAAATGAATTAACTGTATTACTGTATATAAATATACACGACGCAATTGCTCACTTTTTCAAGGAAAACCAAATGAAACATCATATTGTATACAATTGTCATATTTTAGACTTCTAATATAAGAAACAATTCTTCACATTGAAACTAGATGGTATTCGAGCTTCGACTCGCATACGAAATGCGGTGCGAACCACACGTGCCAAGAATCCGAAAAACGAATTTCGAATCAAATTCGAATAATCGCTCTAAATATCATCGAAATTCGTTCTCACATTCTATGTCAACGGTGAAAGATAATTGAAGATTTTTCTGAGCTCGGGATAGGCGATAAGAAAACATTTTTATCGAACAGCTGATCTAAGCTAGATAGCACATGAAATTCATTCATTATAAAATTCATCACTACCCAGTCAGACAAAACCAATAAAAAAACGTGTAGAAACGGACCAAAAACAAACGCGTTCCAATTCATAAAAACCGCACATTTAAACGCGTTAGCAACGCTATGCAATTTCGAACGACGTTTTCCATCGTTTCGAATCGAAATGCTTAATAACTAGTTTGTTAACTTAACGACGTTATTTTTTTGAAATATTAACACGTTTTAATGGTGTTAGATAATACTATGCGTTCATAGCGCGTTTAAATGTGCGGTTTTTAGGAAATTTTTTTCGTTTCATATGTTAAACGCGTTTTTACATGTTTATTTTTTGAATGAAGCAAATGCTATAAGATAGAGAAACAACTCAATACTTCGTGATCACTTAAGAGTTCGTTAAAACTATATTTTATAACCCTTTAAAGTGTATTCTAACCGTATAGTGTGTGGGTGTGAGTGTGGGTGTGTGGGTGTGGGTGTGGGTGTAGGTGGGTGTGAGTGTGGGTGTGGGTGTGGGTGTGGGGTGTGGGTAGGGTGTGGGTGTGGGTTTGTGTCTTCTTCTCTAACACACCCGCACCCACATCCCACACCCGCACCCACACCCACACCCACACCCACCCACACCCACACCCGCACCCTTGAATGCAATTTTTCATTGAATCACAATTTATTTGAGAGAGAAAAAAAAAACCAAAGAAAAAAAAATTAATCATACGAATTGAGTTTATTCAATATTAAATTTTTGTACTCGAGCATTTCCGAAATCGATGACATAGAGATTACCATGTCGATCGAATGATATACCTAAGGGATAAGCGAGTTGATTCGACTGTGCTCCTTTACCGTTTCCACCAATAATGACACTTCCTTGTGTGGCACCTTTTGGCCAACACATGATTCGATGATTCAAAGAATCAGCCACATAGACAGTACCCAATTGATCGACAATGACTCCTTCAGGATGATTCAATTGTGTAAGACTATTTCCTTCTCCTTGACCACCGGCTACAACAATGCCTTGTTTTGCACCTTCTTCCCATTTCATCACACGATGATTGTCACGATCAGACACGTATACTGAATGATCTCGATCGACAAATACGTATTGGGGACCAGAGAGTTGATCGAGATGATTTCCTTGTCCATTGCCACCTGCAACTACTGTTCCTTGAGTGTCACCAATTTTATATCGTCTTACTTCATGTTGTTTCCAGTCAACGACATAGAGATAACCATTGTCGTCCATTGTCAAACCGATGCAAGAGATATTCGAAATAATTGTTTCTCCACTAGTACCATTTCGACGAGGCCATCGAACTACTCTGTGATTCCCAGAATCGCTAATGATGAGGCTATCGCTCTCTTTGTCGATAATCACATCTTCTGGGCAGTTTAATTGATTAGTCCCATTACCTGATCCATTTCCACCAGCAACTACTGTGCCATTCGTTGCGCCAGATTTCCATTCCACAATACGGTGATTTACACAATTAGCGACATAAATCGTTAGATCGTCATCGACGTATAAGCCCCATGGGAACCAGAGTTGATTGGTTTTACTGCCATTTGCATTTCCTCCAGCAACAGTGATACCATTTGTTGACCATGTTGCATTGGGATGAATATCAATGGAATTTGCACGCATTGGTACTGAAATGAAACAAAAGTATGGAGTAGAAATAAACATTGATTTCATATTGCTAAGAAATTCATGAGATATTTGTAATTTAATTGATATGATCAGAAGAAATACCTAATTTTTTGTAAACATATTTATTGAATGTAATTGTTCTACTTTTATAATAATTAAAATTTCTGTGTTGGTTTTTTTTGGTTCAGAGACAAGACTTTCAAAGAAAAAAAGAGAATGAAATCTATCGCATCATTTTAGTTTTAATTTTTGTACTATATTAAAACATTCCATTATCAATCGATATGAAAAAATAATTTCAGAAGATTTAAATTATAAATCAATGAAAATGTAGTTTTATTTCTTATGTTTTATTGATAAAAAAAAATACGATTTATTAATACTCATAAAAGTGAAAATATTATTTTCTACTTATAGATGAAAAGAAACATAGTCGAAATTATTGATAATAAACAAAAAAATAGATATGAGTGTTTGAAATATAAACAACACAACTGAATTTACTGTTTTTTCTATTAGTTTTTGTTTGACTCAGTGTGAATTTTCAGTCAAAAGAATAATGAAGAAATCTTTGCTTAATATGTGCTTATATTTTATATAATAGTCAAAAATAGAATTCGAAATACACACTGAAGTCAAACTTGGGAGTATATCTTCTATATTACAATACAATGCAACCATGTCAATAAAATTAAACTTTTAATTTGAATTAAGTTGAATAGTTAGAATTGTAATTCATCTCATGGAGATAAAGCTAGAAGTTATAAATAATAATACAAAATTCTTTTTCCTCAATGATACTTGCTAGATAAAATATTCTCAATTTCTTTTTACATTCATACTGTGTAATACAGACAAAGATAAACCCTTTAAAAAAACAGGAACGAATGTAACTTGATGTACAAATTTATGGTAACTTGCAATATTACATAAGAATTCATGATTGTTATACAGAATAATTTTTTATCTACAAGCAATCTTACTTTTGTCATGATCTTCGTGTCTTCAAATTATTCAGACATCTGCTTATACACGCAAACTTCATTTATTTAAAATAGATACGATCTATTACCCTATAAACAAATTTCGAATAAATTACTTGTTTAATTGATTAATGAGGTCCATCTCTTCTCTCATATGAATCTATTTCATACCGTTCTGAATTCTATGTATGATATATGTATAAGATCTAGCTGGCAATGTTATTTCAATGAAATTGAAAAGATGACTCATCATTTATTTAAATCAGAATATGTTATTTGTGGTGATTTAAAGGATTTCTTAGAATTTTTTTATCGTATCTATGTAACATTAATTTCTAAATAGACTCTTTAATTTCATTTAATGATTGATCTATTCCAAGTGGAATCTAGTTTGTATAGCAGTGAATAACATAACGAATATCGTAAAAAATAGTTCTGTCTATATTTTCAACATTTCTATCTCTTAGTAGATCAAATAACATTATTCTTATTTTCTTTGAAGAATTTCCTTTAAAACTCTATAGAGCATAAAATCATTTATTTCTTTCAATATACATAAAAAGTTTAACGAATAACATCTATTTTTGTGAACATTTTTATGGCGTGTTTTGATTATTTTATTCTATTATTGTCGCACCAAAAGAAGAGGAAAATATACAAGTCAACACTGTTCATTAAGCCAGAGTTTATTTTGTAAAAGTTGATACGAGGTGTCAGTTAGAACATTTCCAAAATGTTTATGAAAGGATTAGACAACTAAAACACTATGAAGATGGACAAACAATAATACTTTAAGATGTGCACTCAATTTCATCATATGTTAACGAAACAATAGAAATGACTGGAATTGATTAGTGAGATAGAGGGTGTGG